GACCCCAATATCAGATGCATCTAAGATTACATAAAAGGATTGAGTTCAGGCTGGAATTTAACCTAAGATACAGAGGCGTCGACCCGCACATCAAGTACACTTAAAGTCTTAATTGGAGATTTAGTTTGTGCTACAGCTAGACCTAAGGTGGGTGTATTTTATGTGCGTGCTTGAAATTAGTATGAACATGCTTTAAATACTATAGAGTGTGTAAGTTATGAATTATTGCATAGGGTTAGCACTGTAGACAAGCTATATCACATTAGTGAAGATAGCTAGAGAACGATTAAGCTTATTAGTTTATAAGCATATGAGTAAAAGTCTTGTGAATGCTATACAATTATATCATAAAATCGTTACTAATTGAGATAGCCTTAATGGCTTATGTTACTTGTTAATAGATGATTGTATGAATTATCATTTGATGTTGGCTGCATTCAATTATGTTTGGTGTTGTGGTTATGATAAATGGTCTTATAACCAAATATAGCCTTAGAGACAAGTATATGGCTTTTGTAGTGGATATTGATTAAATGATTGTCAAATAACCTGTGCAGCAAATATTACCTGCATGACAGATATTTCCTATGTGACAAGTGTAGCCCATTTGGTGGTTATAGCCTGAGTGGCGGCAGTTATATACTTCTATTACAGGCTATGGTGATCGATGTATTATGAGTTGATTGCTAGAGAATTATGAGATCTTATATGTATTAACTCATAAAATTGTTTAGTTGTACTAATGAGATGATTATGGAAGTATGTGTTATTTACTTTTGTCATTCATTGTTTATTGTTTATATAAGCTCACTGAGCGTGTGTTCCCACCATCTAGTTTGTATTTATAGGAAGACAAGGAGGAAGGAATGTTCACTGCAATGTTTAGGAGGTATAAGAAGGAATCGGATTTTCAATGTCTTATTGTGTCATTGTGTATTGTTGTTGAGTCTCGTAATAGGGAGAGTTAAACATTGTAAAAATTTAGGGTTTAAAGTATTGTTTCATGTGCATGATATGCTGAGGTATCAAGAGAGTAAAGGTTATTTTGTCATATCTGATTAGTTCATGTTGCTATTTAAAAGTCAATTTTTGTACGTGGTACATGTGTGATTCAAGGGGTAGGGTCTACTCTACCGGATTTGGATATAATATCTTATCTTATGGGTGGGGTGTGACAGTGAGTGTATTGATTCATATTTGATTGAAAATGTGATTGATTGGTTACTAGCTATGCCTATTTGTAAATAGCTGAATCTTGATTTCGTGCATTATGATGTTTGAATTGGTGTTTGGTTATGGGTTCAAGTACTTCAAATGATTGTTTTGAGCTTTTCAATATTAATGATTGTTGAGTTAATTCTTGCCTAGACTTTGAGACTCCCAGGTGGAAACGGGTAGTCGTTAATTCTTGCTGAGCTTCCAAACAGTATTGGATAGTTAGATATTAGTTTTCACTTTAAATATGTGAGATTTGTTTGTAATTGTACTGCGCTTATGAGTTTTCTTTCTATATGTCTCAAATATATTAACTGAGCATTTGCTCACCCCCCCTCCACCAAAACAGATGTTTGTTTTTAGGTGGTTGGAGTTAGGAAGTGGTCCACCAAACAGTCTAGCTTGGTATGAAGAGTTGGTGTCAGTTTGTACATTATGTCGTGTGTCATATTGTACATATTTGTTCAAATATTTTAAGGGTGTGGTGCCCTAGTTACATTTGTAACACTATAATGTGTTATATATTTATATTAGGTTTCTCATTAAAGTGGATGGATTTGATTATTATTGCACATGTTAAATTACTCTGATTTAAATTTTGATTAAAGGATTAACAAGCTAGGGTTACCTGCACCCTATCTCTTTTTTGGGATGGGGTGCGAAAAAAGTAACTGTAAAAGCCAATTCAACAAATATGTTGAAGGGAGTCTACATTTGGCATGAATTGGCCATGCCTAGCTTCTTACAGTCAAGCTAGGTTCTTACAGTTAAATAAACTAATGGATAGAACCTGCAGAAGGTTTTGGAATGGCAAGTTAGTTGTCATTAAAGCCACACTAACAAGGTTATTTGCATATACCTTGGAGGAAAGAGTGAACACATTCAATGATGCCTCTGTCAATTGAGTTGAATGTGTGCTAGAAAGTGGCTCAGAAAACATGAGCAAAAACATAGGTGTAGATAATCTTTAGTCTACACCTGTGAAGCTAAATGATTATCTGGAGGAAGTTAATCTAGGGGATGAAATTGACAGAAGCCTTATCTATATCATTGCAGAACTTGGATCATACTTCAACTAGAGGTTGATTGAATTGCTAAGGGAATTCAATGACTACTTTGCATGGAGTTATGAAGAAATGTGTGGCTTAGATAGATCATTGGTGGAGCATAGACTACCAATTAATAAGAGCTTCCATCCTTATAAACAACCACCTAGAAGCATTACCATTGAAGTTACAGTACTATTCAAAGAGGAGATTGAAAGGTTGTTGAAATCAGACTTCATAAGCTAGCTGAATGACTATCTAATATTTTTCCGGTAACAAAAAGAACTGGGAAAATTAGGGTATGCATAGATTTTAGAAATCTAAATACTAGAACTCCCTAAATATGAGTATCCAATGCCTACAACATAATTTTTTAGATCCAAAATATCTTATAGATTTTTTATTTTTAACTTGTTGACCTTGATTCTTGTATGCAACTAGTAAAATATCATAACATCCTAGTAATTTTTTCTTGCAAAATAATCCCAATAATTTCCCAACTTTCTCCTAATGTTCCCAGAACGTGTTTGAAGTGTGTCTGGAAGTTCTTAATTATTTAGATATTTATATCCATTGATAAGACAAGAAAATAATATAGTGTGTGCAAATCTAAATATACGAAAATGTTTTATAAAATTATATGTAGTAAATTTTTGAAAAATAAATTTAGAGGTCGGCTTGTGCCTAACCTAGGCATAACTTGGTTGTCATTTACTATTAATTGACTCTAAATCTTTGTATCTTGTAGTATTTTGGAACTTTTATCCTCTCTACCATTGTATCTTCCTTTTATTGTTGCTCCCGTGATATGTCTTCAGTTCTCTCTTTATAAGGTTTCAGAGACTAGAAATTCCTTCACCTTTGTAGAACCTATCGATTAAAATCCTCAAGGTGTTGGTCTAGGACCAACATTCATGTCATCCCCTCTTTCTGTGGTTCGTAAAAACTACCCATATCTCAATTATTTTCTTCCTCTTTGTCACCGTTTTTCCATTCTGTCCTGATGAAACTTGATGGGCCCAGCCCAGACCAGGCTCAAAATTATAGATCAGGCCTAGAATTACATACCAGGCCCAAACCATAGATGTGGACCAACAAAGGCCCAAATACAATTTCAGTTTGACCAAAGCCCACCTTCTCAAGAAACCCAATCCGTCACCAGCTCATGTTGGAGTTTCCATCCCAAAGGAAGGAATCCATAGGGACGCAGTCATCAGGGGCACATCACCAGTCTTGCAATATCACCTCACTCGTTACGAGGTAGGGTGAGCTTCAAGGAATCACCCCCGCTATCACCTTACCTTTTACGAGGATAGGGTGAGCTTCAGGAAATCACCATGCTCCTTGTTATATGGATGATGCCTCTATTAGAGCCCCTCGGGGCCAACCTTACTTGTCTATAAATTTTATGACTTGCCTACACATGGGAGACATTACACATATCTCAACATACTACATCTCTCAAGTAATAAGATTCGCCGGTCATTGTTGCCATTCCCAATGGAGTAGGTCACCCAGACCAAACCACCTAATCTTTGTATTTGCTTGTGTTGAGCCGTCTTTGCCTCATCCTTGATTGATTTTGCATAAACTCACTTTTGTGCATCATCAAAACTTATCAGATAAAAGATAAGAAAAGTAAAAAAACTTCATCGGGAAGAACATAGTGTGCGGATTTGGAGTGCCCCATGCCATAGTAAGTGACAACGCCACACAAGTTGACAACAAATTCCTCATTGCTTTTTTGCATCTTGTTCTAGATCAAACAACCCCACTCCAGTCCAGCCCATTTGCAAGCAAACAGACAAGCTAAGGTCATTACAAGAACCATACTATGCAATCTAAAAGCCAAGCTGGAGAACGCCAAAGGACTATGGGTAGAAGAACTCCAAGGGGTGTTGTGGGCATACTTGACAACACCTAGGAGCCCCACTGGTGAGACTCCTTTCTCCCTTGCCTTTGGCACTCAAGCAGTCATACCTGTTGAGACTGGGGTCCACTCATTGAGAGCCCATCACCATGATCCCAACACCAATGAAGAAGTTCTTCACATCAACCTTAGTTTGATGGAGGAGGAGAGGAAGATGACCATGGTCAGGAATGCAGAGTACAAGCACCGCATGATCAAGTATTACAACTCAAGAATGAAGCCGTGCTACTCCTTATCTGGAGACTTAGTCCTTAAGAAGGTAATACTGGCCACTAAGGACTCACGAGAGGGAAAGGTAGGACCAAATTGGGAGGGGTCGTACACTATGATGGATATTGTGAGGCCAAGCACTCACAAAATCCAGAATTTCGAGGGAAAGGTTTTGGCCCATCCATGGAATGCTGAAAACCTAAAGAAATACTACCAATAGTGTGACAAGAAAAAGGTAGCAGAAGAAGTATTCTCGTTTCCAATGGTAGTAGGATTTTTTTTTTGGGGGGCCACCTACCCACTGGTATTTATCATAAGTAGTTATCAAATAAAGCCTTGAGGATTTTATCACATAAATTTTTTGGCTTTTCATTTAACAAAACTTTTAAAACAAACAAGCAACAAAAAAAAATAAGAGACAAAAACTTTGAAATTTCCATCTCAGCCTGACGACAAAACATAGTAGGGGGAATACAAAAAGTGGAGATGATTCTAGCAATTTCAATATCAGTATTGATCAAACAAGAAATAGTGCTTACTCACTTAGAGCCATCATTGTCAACATCTACTTTTCCACGAAGTTTGTGTCTTTGTCGATGTTAGGCAACGTCGTTTCTATCATCACCAACCTCGTAACTCGCAAACCAGTTGCCTTCTTGCGCCTCAACACCAATGCCATCTACGAATAACTTGTCTGTGCTCTCGCTTGTTTTGCATATGCTTGAGCCCCCGGATGTTTGTTTCCCACTGCCCAAGCCATCGGAACCCAACGCCTCAGTGCCCTTGGTGCTTGCACCTTGAAAATCGATGCCTAGCCCCCCAACACCCTCGCCTCCCATGTTTGCACCTCACCCCGCATGTCTGCACCTCGCCCAATGTGCCTGATCTCGTTGGCCCTCCTTTGCCTCTCCAACACTGCTGCTCTACTTGGCGCCTGCCTCATTGCCCAAGCTTCCTATTGCTTGGCCACCCGTTGTTAGACCGCCACCCCAGGCACCCTATGCACCACTTGTTACCTAGGCCCCCAACACTACTACCTTGCTGTCCAAGGTGCCCCCTTCCTAGCCGTCACTCGCGCCGTCACCCAAAACCCCTAACCTTTGCTCTTCACCTCTCTCACCCATCTCACTCTTTTCCTTTCGCCCCAAAGGTGTATGAAGAGTCCCTTTAGCCTTCAAGATGAGTGTCTGATGCCCTATTTAAAAGGCTAATCAAGGATTTCTTGATTCCAAAGTAACTTTGTTGCTAAAAGAGTTCCATATTTATAGGACTAATCAAGGAGTTCTTGCTACCAAAGTAACAAGTATATCAATGAAGAAATTGTTGGTCCTCTTTTGTAGTGTGATAGTATTCTATTTATATGGGTAGTCCTTCTAGGGTTTCTTGCGGTTTCCTCTTCCTTTTTGCTAATTTTGTGGTCCCCTCTTTCTTTGTACTTTAGTGATCTTTGTCATGCGACGCCACTGTATCCACAGTCCTTGAGTGGTTACGTGCACAAATACTCCCTTTACTAGAGAGTACACATTCGTTAGAGGCTCCAGAAGTTTTTCCCTGGTCCCCTGGACACGTGGCGTGAAATGGGACATTTGGGATCTGGTGAGTACTGAGCTCCTTGATCCCGGGCTGCTTAATGTTAAGCTTGTTATGACTGAGCAGGGTTATGCCGAGCTGGACTCTCTATTAGTCTCCCTCCATTGGATTATGGCCCATTCCTTATTACAGAGCAGATGGGTTGTTCAGGGGTCTCTTGGGCCATTGTGCACCATTTTTGGCCCATTAAATGATTTGGGTTTAGGATGAGCAACCCACTCTAAAATCCTACCGTTATAAGTTACCCCCCAACCCCAGGTCACGAGGATGACGTCAAGCTCCAGCCTGGGGTTAAAAAAGTCTTTTCCAGGGTCATGATTGCTTCCATGGATGACAGTTTTATCTGATCATTAACACTGCCTGAGGACATGTTTAGTTAATCCGTGCCGACTTCAATGGGATAGACATGCTCGTGTGGGGGCATGTGTCGCTTATAGGGTGTCTTCATAAGACAGTTTTTTGCACGTTCCTCTCCATGTCCCATGGTGATAATAAATGTTGTGTATAAAAGGAGAAAAAAAACTCTTGGTCACTCCTATTTTGAATCTCTTCCTTCTCGCGTTTTCTTTTCTTTTTCCTGGTTTTTGAGCCGATTGTTCTAAGTTCTCGGTGACTTAGGGGTCCTACATTTTTCGTTCCTTTGTGATCCAAATCTAGTTTCTGCTTAGGTACGTTTCTTCTTTCTCCATCTTTTTCTTTGATCTAGATCCCTTTAACCCTCCCTAGTGGAGTTTCGGGTTCTGTTTCCTTATTTGGAGATTTAGTTATTTCTGCAATCACTCTGGTATATTTATACATATATATATATATAACTATAAATATATATATATATTTATATAAATATTTATAAATATATATATTATGAAATTGTCAATATAAAAATAACTTTTTTATATTTTTTTATTAATGTTTGAATTACTGTTCAAATATATATTTAGGCTGTCCAAACAGGTTTTACTATTTTCTGTATTGTAAAATTATTTTTGAAATCATCTAACCAAACAAGTTTTTTATCTCAAAAAATATCAAAACCACTTTCTTAAAACTTTTCTCAAAAACTGTTTTCGGATACTGTTTTTTGAAACGCAAACCAAATAGGCCGTAATATTCTCTAGGAATTTTTTGGACAGAACATAAGATTCTTTCAAATGAAAGAGTCACCCTTTAGCTCGAGGATTTGGACATGTAGTCAATCATCTGGTTGTTATATTTGTGCTTGAGAACTCAATTAACCCTATGTCAACATCAACTTAACTGGAGGATAAAGATAAACTGTGAGAATTAAGAGCACGTTTCGATGCCTTCGTAGAGATTTATAAAAATTGTCAGTGTCGGGACTCAACCTATCTACAAACAAGCAAGTAATTCTACAAGTCATCCGGCCACTATGATATTATTTCATTCTTAGTTGAAGCAAAATAATAGTGAAGACTGAAATGTAGTCATGAAGAACTAGTTGGAGTACTTGCAGAGAACCAATGAATCCTCCTATTCCAAGAGTCATCTTGTCTTAGAAAGGACTCATGATTGTACAAAGTACCTTAGCTTTGCAAGAGGCATTCAATCATTCAATAAGCAATCAAACGATAAGCATTAAACATAAATAAAATACACAAAAATAACTTCCGAATGATTTATACATGTCCATTATCTCTTACTCAAGAGTGAATGAGAAACTACTCACTTTTCATGGCTTTGAGAAATCTAGAAAAGTGAGTGATTCTGTAACGCCCCAAAAACCACCCTGGAAGGCATTACCTTCTAAAACCATTCATACCATGGGAACAACTAATAAAATCCATAAATAACTAGAGGTCCTTAATTTAATAAAATTTGGGCAAAGTCTCCTTTGTTCGAGGAGCTTTACCCAAAACATAACATGTGCAATTATACTACATTGACCACATTAGATCCATTTATCCCTAAAATATTTACAACATTATCCAAAAGAATAAGCCCAAACCAGGCTACTACATCAAAAGAATTACATTTGAACTTAGTAACGGAATAAACAAAATACTAGACTTTACAAGATTGTACATAATCGTTCCTAATCTGGCACAAAAATAAATGACATCTCTAGATGTCCCACTCGGGATCCAAATACCCCTCTAACGAAACTTCTCCATGGCCCGGCTCGTTAGCACCGAGCTCCTCTTCTGGCTCATAATCTATAAAATGTTTAACCGTAGGGGGTGAGCACAAAGCTCTGTAAGAAAAATCCTCCCAAACTCGAACAAGGTTTAGAAAATAGATAAAAATCGGTCGGTCTCATTTCGTAAATAACATATATCAATTTTGAAGGAAAAATAGGACATTTTAAATAGATCCCAAGTTTAAGCCGTAACAATAATCAAGTACAAGAGTAAAGTCAATCCCATCATAAATAATCATTTCAAAGAGTAATTATTCCCATAACAATTTCCAAGATAATCATATCCAAAAGATAACGCAATAAACAATAACCACAATGTATCTTAAGTCTGATGTAAGATAATTGCATGAATAAACACATAGAGAATATCCTGACCCACACACACACAATTCCTCATAAGGATATCAACTTTGGGAAGGGCGTTTATCGATGCATTGTTCCATACCAATGCACCGGCAATAACGAATTCGACCCAGGCATAGTATACTAATCCTCTGACATGGCACGCGTGAGCTAATAGTGGTTTGGTCCTCGCAAGGCACCAACCCCACTACGAGCGGTAGGAAAAGTTCAAACCTGCACGGAGTAAAAACCACACACATCTACCCACTCTACGATACCCTGTCAACGGCCACCCATGATCATTCAAACACCTCTGTGAGATACAATCACCAACAATTTCTCAACAAAAGTTCATAATTTTCAAAACCCCCAAATTCCATAGGTATTTCTCAAATCACATTAAATCTTAAAAATCCCCAATTTTCTCCCGTATGATTCCAATAGAACAATTTAAGAAAAATATGCAAGAGATCATCAAACATATATTTTTATTGTTCAAACAAAGCACTAGGGTTTTAAAATCAAGAATTAAGGAATATCAAGAAGAAAAATCTCTATTTCTTAAAAGAAACAAGGGTTTTGAGATTTCAAGGATTTCATGGCTATCAAACTATAACTTCATTCCAAACATGATAATATTTGCAAGAGCATTAAGAAATAATGATTTCATAACAAATATCTAAGATTTAGAAGCAACATATACATAGATATAAACCCTAGCCTCAATATAGGAGAATGAGAAGAAATTTCTACCTTGAATCAAAGTTCCAAACCAAAACCCAAGCTTTAGAGCCTTTCTTCTTCTCTTTTCTTTTTCCCTTTTTCTTCTTCTATGGTTCTAAGAGGTTTGGGGTGAGAGATGTGGGAAAAAAAATGGAAGAAAAGGGCCGAAATCTGTGTTTTAAACACAGCAGTCCGCGACAGTTACTGTCCATAGGCTGATTTTTGGGTTTTCTCCAAAATTACGATTTTACCACTAAAAATCTCCAATTTGATCTATATGACTACCTTAAGGTTTTTTGACATTTCGGATTCATTTTTAACGTTATTTTAACCTAAAAATATTTATTTTTATAATTTATTTCAAAACTAAAATAAATTTAGATTCGAAACATTAAAATTACTATTTTATTCCTCCTTAGTATTTATGCTTATGGTTTCAATATATATGGTTTATTCTTACGTTATTACATATATAAGAATCACTAAACAAGTACATTACTATATTAATATAAACATGTGAGGGTTTACACCTTCAAAGTCTAAGAAGAAAGTACAACACTTTAGTATCCAAGGAACACTACAGTGCAGATTTTTTTATCAACTTCGAAGAATAAACTGATTTGAATTAGGTAGTTCTAGTATGTGTGACCTATATGGTTGGAAAGATAATCGAGTTAGGGTTCTAAAAAAAATAACAGTGCACAATTTGAACTTTCCAACAAAGAGTTATGATCAAGTTGGTGAAAGATAGTCTACCGGACTGCTTGGTTCTTCTATACTTGTTTGGAGTCTAAATATACTTATTATTCTTATATTTTGATTTAGGATGTAAATAGAGATGTTAAATGAAAAACGAAGCTAATTGGACGATTGTTGATAGTTTAGACATGTGGGGGTTTACAGATTCTCATCCCTTCAAGTAGAGGAGTTACAAGAGAAACTACGCTACACAATAAGTCTATCTTCAACGAAGATTGAGCGAATGACTACCCACCCTTCAAGGCTACAAGAGATCTAGAAAGGTGAGAGAGTTTCACTTATCTAAGTAG